CTTCACGATCAGGGCAAGCATATAGCAATTTGGTGTCAAGCTACAACATTGCAAACAGACCACACTTTTGAGTGGCTTGATGCGCCCAATGGCTTTGCGGAAAGACGAGCCGCGAGCACACTACAACTGATTCTCTCACAAGGCTCATCCGAGGGCACAACGAGTGAGAAGAGCACCGCAAAGAAGCTGCGTGCTGCACAGGACGCATCACACGTAGAGGCGGCCCTACCCGACACTTTGAGAAAAAGCTCTCGACTTCGACTTGCTGGAAAGACTGCACTATGCACTGCGCGGTCTCGGGCGGCGGTCCTACTTCGGTCGCTTGCATTGTGGAAGCTCGGTTGCCATCGCGACCATGGCTTGCGCAAACGTTGCCAATGTGGGCGAGAGAAGTGGTCGGCCGAGAGGGGGCAACAAATCGGCAAACGCAGCATTTCAGACGTCAGGCTCATTCACGTAGACTGCCGGCGTGTCAAACATGCTCAGCTGGCGCTGGTACAGAGGCTGTCGTGAGTACTTGCTGCACATGACAGTCTAAGGGTACATTAAGGGAGATCGATTCGAGTTGTATCACACCTGTACCGGTATGGTACAAGATACAAGGGCCGCCGAGGAGAACGGTATTCGACCACGATTGGAATGGTGAACGCACGGCGTGACCATACCTGACAACTTCTGCATCGTAGTCGGGATTCTCAAACGCTCCTGGAAGCGCTTTCGATTACACGTATGTAGCGAGCCCCCTGTCCATAGGTGTCGGTGTCCGTATCTGCCGTAATAGCTCATCACAGTCGCAGTGTTCAATTGCAAAGAGTCCTGGCGATCTTGCCCCACAACTATACGATGGATGGGCTCTGCTTGCTCGCCACGCGTCTCGTCGGACTTGTCGCAGTATTGTGGAGCCATGGCGGATGGTCTCGGTGAGTGAGAATAGGTGTTACAATGACGAGCCTAAGTCCAAGCTCTGTCATTCTTCGGAGCAAGCTTGGAGCCCTAATACGAGCCGGGGATGACGATTGTCGATGACGTCACAGGCATTCACAGACTCCCATCACACGCACTCAATTGAATCACTGTCTGCGCCGGAGCACGCGAATTCGAAGTCAGCGCGCCGCGCCCTTGTGTTTGTGTTGAATCACCGAGGTCGGGACGCCTAAGAAGGAGAGGCGCGAGGAGGTTTGCAGACGTCTCCGAGCGATGCAAGTGCAGTGCGCATCCACGGCAGTTTGCCGAGTCGTCTGCCTCGTCTGGCAACCGGCATCGAATCCGAGCTAATGCGAGTCCGCAATGACGGCTGTCAGAAGCCCACTCGGTTCGTGATCGTCCATCGATCGATCAAGGACAAAACCATGTGACTCGATCATAACGCATCGAGAACCCAGTCACAACGTTCGCTTGCAACATATATCGAGCCTTGCAACGCTACTATAGCTCATTGTGCGCCGAATTGAAAAGCTGTCCAGAATCATTCCCTTGACGATTCCGACGGACCGTGCAATTACAAGACCAGGCGATGTGTGGTCAGCTATGCACCAGGATGGGTGTGTTTCACGCACCTCTGCATGTCGACGTCCAAGTCCGGCAAGAGTCACGAGTAACAGAGGCGTTCGGGTTGAAGACGCCGCTGACACGCTTTACTCATGCCCACTCAAGAAGACAAGGGGCAAGGACGTGGTGCATGTTAGTGAAAGAGGCGCTGTCGGATCCGCAAAGCTGTCAGACACATGCTCGAATTGAAATCGTACCTGTGGAGCAGGTCGAGCTTGAGAACCGACGAGCTCGAAAAGATCGTGGATTTTGGCGAGGATCAGAAGTAAATACCAGTCACGCCGGGACACGATCAGCCCTGGGTCGAATCGCGCCAAGTCCGAAGGGTGCTTGACTTCGGTCATCACGCCTTGCCACATCTGCGTTGTATACAAGTAGTCGATGATCTACATTGGGTGGGCGTCACAGACTGCGTCTATGACGAGGCCGCGTAACGTTTTTGCCCACATCGCCACCACTTGTAATCCGGCGAGTGACTTCAAGGAGCCGAGCGGCACAAAGGCAAGACGTTGTGATGTAGGTGAACATCTCGCCGAGCACCTCGCTCACCCGGCCCAAGCTAGTGCATCGCCGTATCCTTCGCCGGACAACTACGGCACAAAGGGAAAGGCAAAGAGACGGACACAAGTCTTGCGGTGCATCGTCGCAGCGACAGGGTCTCCTCAGATGTGACAGCAAATATCAAGTTCCCACACTGCTTACCAAGCCACATGCTCATACTGCCAACAACGATCCTCAAATCAGTCAGAGGCATTCCTCGAAAGACATCTAGTCATTTGGCTGTCCTGAGGCGCCGGGAGCGCGGACGCGGTGTGGTGGTTCCGGGGGTTGCAATATCCGATGAGACGGGAGTTGCGATCTCTTATCAAGAGTCTTCACCTCTCGAAAAAAGTGTAGTGTGCTCCAAGGCTTCGGAGCAAGACGAACATGCCGCATTGCTTGATACAGCACATCAATCGTGGATCTGGACGCAGCAGGAAGAACGATTCAGAGCTCGCCATCTTCGCGTCAAAACGTTGGCCAAAATGTCCGTCTGCCACACTTACGTTCCACGACTTCCTCCATTTGACCAACGGCCAGTTCTCTGCCTTGCCCTCCCTTCCATACGCAGTATCTTTGAAGATCAAGAAGACGACGAAGATGAGCCCAACAAAGCCGGCAAAGGCGGTATTCTTTCGGGCTTCGCTGAGCGGTGCTCGCACGCCGCCTTTACCCTTGTACCGAGCCGTGGATGGATTCCACAGGAAATGGTCCAGGAGGTGCGCAAGCATGATGGTGGCAAAGTAGAGAGTAGGCAAGTAGTGGTGCAGGTCTGCGGTTCAGGCGTTCGGGCAATGTCAGCAATCCCTGGAAATGTAGAGTTGATCCGCATGAGGGCTCCACCACACTCCTGTACACGAGCGCAGGTTGTGGTATGCGGGAAAGGGCTGTCAGCGATCGTTGAGACTCGAAAGGAGGACTTCAAAGCTGCTTGAAGCTCACACATAGAACTCTGGACATGATCGCGCTAGGCATAAAGTGGAGCACCCATCCGAGTCCCGCAATCTTTCCGACAAAGAGGAATTGGTTCCAGTCCGCAGCAGAGAGATCTGCGTGTCTTCTTTGCATTCGACCCAGGTAGTAGGTGAAAACGAGTGCAAATACAGCGAGAGAGGTGGTGCTTCCCCACCAGATGATTGGGTTTCCAAGAAGGTAGTACTTGCGCGACTCAGGCGCCCAACTGTTCATCCTGAGCCCGTTGTATTGATACAGCCAGTCAAAGGGACTGGAGCTGAGAATGTCGAATTTGTCGGCATCCGGAATGAGCGCATTGTTCGACTGCCACATGGCGGCATTGAGGTGCAGCCAATCATCCAGGAATCTGGACTTGTACAACCTGGCGCTGCCCGCCGGCAGCTTGTCATTGTGGTGGGACTCAACGTTCCAGTACGTATGCTCGTCCTTTGGATTGTTCTCCTTATCGCAGCTAACTTCGATCTGCTTCCATCCCCACTGGGGCAAGACCGCGCTACCGGCTCTCATGTAGCAGCCCAAATTCTTGTGACGGAACCTCATCCGAGTCGTCAAACTGCGCACCACCTCACCACCCTGAACCTTCTTGCCGGTGGCCAGGTCGTCCACCACCTCGACAATCCAGTGGTCGTTCCAATCTCCAACGGTAGCATTGCCGTAGCCAGAGATTTCGTAGTTCTCCTTTGTGATCGGAGCGGCAATGGCATGACTGTGGAGATTGCGCCCCGTGGCCTCGTGTACGAAGCGGAATGTGTCGCCATTCTTGAACATGCGAGGAGGGTCGTCGCTCCCACCTCCCACTGGTAGCCTTGGCTCGTCCCACGTCGGTGTGACGATGAAGTCGTTGTTGTTGTCCTTATAATGGTAGCAGGTGACCTGCTGCTGCTGTGATCCGACGGGATAGGTCTGAACGTGCGAGTGAAGCAGGCCGCCACCATACCCCATATTCTTGAAAGTGACCTTGCTGCCATACGCGACCTCTGCGAGAAGGACTTCTTTTGGGTCAGCGTGCCAAACCGACTCTAATACAAAAGGCTACAAAGGATGAGACGCACCGAGAGGCGAAGTGGCGAAGTCATTGCCCTTCAGGTGAGCTTGGAACAAGCTCGACATTTGAGCATCTCCAGGGCCTGAGTGGTTGAGGATGAGAAAGTGCATCTTGAAAGAAGCCATGTAGACGAGCAGAGGAACGACGATCAAGCAGAGGAGTCTGGCACACCAGTGCCTGGCGTAGGCCCGAACGGGCATCTTGAGGTCCCCAAACTTGTCCCACAGATCTTCGATTGTGTAAAGCCCGACCAATGCCATGGCAAATAGTCCTACCCATTTGACGCTCATCACGCACCCAATTGAGACTCCCGTGTATGCTAGCCAGAACCACCACTTCTGCGAAAATGGGCGATGTTGATGGCCGTGGAACATGATCAATCCATGCACCGTGGAAAAGGTGAAGCACAGCAGCATAGAGTCGAGTAGGATGAAGCGCGAAATGACGAGCCAGCCGTTATCTGAGCGTCACAAGACATGAGCGTCAGCCATAGTCGTAGCTGCTTCAAGACTTTCGAAAGCAAATGTACCTCTACGCACCCAAAAGCACCATGATCGTGAGGGCATGCCTGGCTCGCCAGTTCCAGCCCAAACCGCCACTGGTGGCCCAAGCAAAAGGGACCATGGCGACGCCAAACAAGGCCAAAAAGACTCGCATGCCAACGTAGTTGACATTGGCCGGGTACGCCTCTCCACTCTTGAATTCGAAGTGCCCATTGTAGCCGCTCAGTAGACCGGCCAAGCCAACGAGCATTTTACCCAGAGGCGGGTGTACATCAAAGTAGAATTCACGCTTGAGATAATGCGAGCCGAATTTGCCGAAGTGGGCCTGACAGGGCAAGAAGATTAGTCAGCAAAGTCGAAGCCGCCAAGAATGTGACAGCTTCTCCAGCCTATCGCTCTACTCACTTCGTCCCAAATCACCTGTGGGCCCTTGCCGATACCCCATAGGCGCGTCAAGAGGGCCAGAAAGGTATACAAAAGCAGCATCGCCGTCTCTGACTGAGCAAGAGAAGACACATGTTCGAGCTGCAAAGGAAGAGTGTCGATGGTGGAGGAAGCAGCTTTCGTGAGCGACGGTGAGCAGTGGGCATCGTGCGCACCGAAGAACGCCGCTGGCCGTCCAGCCACCACCGGACAGTGTTGCGTCAAGATGTGCTCCTCCTACTCACTGGACTCTTGGGTGGTCTCTTTTCGGGTATCAAGCTAGCGTAGCGCGCCTTTGTGCTGGGAGCATACGAGGTGGGTGCAGAGACTGGATCCAGTCCTGCCCTAGCGTATGCACCGATGCCCGATCCCGCACCCTTCTCCCTGACCTTGTCCTCGCCAGCCTGCGAGTAGCCAGCTGGAAGCCTCTCGACGGATGCGTAAGGGTCGAAGCCGCCCTGCACGGCGAATCTGGTGCGATCCTGCGAAGACATTGCAGTGTTGCTCAGGTGGAATGGCAGAGTGGGGCCGCTTTCGTACGCTCTTTTCAGCTCGTACTCTTCTCCTCCTCGAGTCGTGACCTTGGAGTTGGAGTCTTGGGATGGTGATCCGCTGCCACTGGCGTCGCCGCTGCTGCTAGCGCTACCACGTCTGTCTGCTGCGCGTGGAGATGGCGATCCAAAGTCGAGGGCTTGATGAGAGGGTCGCTGTGTGATGTTGTAATGGTGCGGAGGGGATGCTCGGGTATCTTGGTGATTGTGCGGGGAGCGCGCGTTCAAGGTCATGGAGGAAAAGCGCGCACAAAGCCAGCAGCAGATCTAGCAAGGGGTTCACTGCAATCCATTCAATGACCTCGCCCGCTGCTATGTTTGCAGCACCCTATGGTATGCGTGGCACCTTCACCACACGCACGCTTTTCAAACTCGCAGCCGTCGTTCTTGTCAAGCGGCTTGCCTCCTACTCTTGCCCGGTGCTGTGCCGCCTCCACTGACTGCGCCTTATATTGAAGATGCAGGCCGACTGGAGTGGCCGTGCACCTTTGATTGATCGATCGATACAATCGACCGCGGGCTGGAAACTAGCCGACAATCACGCGGCGGCGGCTACGGCGGCGGGAGCGCAGTGTAGTGGCTGGCAAGTGATGGGCCGCAAGCGAATGGTTAGAAGCCACTCTGCAAGGCAGGTATGCGGATCGACGGCTTGTGACTTGGTGCAAGAAGAATGAGCGAGTGCGCACGACGGACGCTCGAGGTGACGCGCTCACAACACCAACAAGGATGCGGTACAGTTACGAGTACGGCGAGCAAGGGCGAAGCGGGTGTGGCAGTCGCGAGCTTGAGCGCGAAAAAAGGAATGGTCGGGCAGTGGAGCGGCTGGCGAACGGTGGAAGTCCAAGTCCTACTGAACCCCAATCTAAGGTCGGATGGCGAACCAGCAATTCAGAGTCAGAAGAGTCTTTGAAGGTGAGAAATGTGAGGAGATGCGTGAGAGGTGAAGGGAAGTGCAAGTGCAAGGCTTGTATCGTGTCGAACAGGCTGTGTCATCTGGTTTGGATGGGCGCCAATAAGCGCATCGCTACAGTACAGTCACAGCCGTGAGCCAGATGTATGCATGTCAAGCTTACGAGTGATCATAGCGCACAGCTACGCACCTCAGGAAGGATGGCAAGACAGCATATGCAGCACAGCTATGGCGGCTCGGTGGGTCAGCAGGCCAGCGGGCCAGCAGAGCAGGCAGGCATGCGCGTGGCCCTCGAGGAAGAGACGCGGCTGGCGCGCATGACAGCCCAACCTCCGCGCCCTTCTATTCTGCACCGGCGGGGTACTGTATACTGTACAGTGACTGCTGTAGTACTCTGCAGCCTGAGTGTTGTAAGAGTTGCACGCTGTTTGCTGGCCTGTGCTTCTTATACAGAGACTGGGATGATTGATGTACGTATTTGCGCCCTCACTATCGAGTGGCGCAGCGGCTGGCGCGCGTGCTTCCATGCCATCGGTGATTCGGTCAGGCACTGCATGCATGCGGCACGCATCAGCTGGAGGGGGGCCAGCAAGCCGGCCATCTTTCAATCTCCGAATGCCAAAGAGTCAAATCAAGGTCACGCACGCTCGAGCAACGCCTGCTGTGAGAATCAGAATGTATGTAAGGCACACCGCAACCCACGGGCTTGCCAGACAGAGAATCACATATAAGCGTAGGGCACACTCGCAATTCGCTCGGTCAGTGGAGAGGACTCTGGCCGCTCACGACATTCGATGGCTCACGGCACGCTGCGTGAACACCTTGTTCTGACTGCCTCCCAGAACTGGGAGCTGCGCGCACTTATGAGCCAAGGAACACATGGCAGGAGCTGCCAATTGAAGATCGATCGCAGCCTAGGCGCAAGAACGCAAGGGTCGATGTTGCCGTGCTTGATAGCATCGAAATTTACGCCGACGCAGAAGCAGCTGCCTCGAGCACCCCGACTGGCTGGTTTATTCCCAGCTTCTTGGCTACAGCCGCCAACCTATTATGCTCTATAATGTCGCTGCGTCGGGGGGCCAACAAATGTGATCTTGGTCATCAGCATGCTCATGCGTCCCAACAATCATTAGAGTCCTTTGTGACGGTTCAAGCCAGAACTCACTCTTGTTCCCAAGGGTAGTCGATCCACACATCTCCGGTGGTCTCTGCAGCCCAGTAGAAGCACCCTTTGCCAACTTTGTCTCCATCCTGCGCGTCATCTAGCGGTTCATTCTCTGTGGAAGTGCCTTCAGGATAGATGGGCAGTACGCCACGCTTCTGTCGTAGCTTGTTGTTCACTCTGTGTGAGAAGCGAGGGCGATGACACGGTCAGTGCGATGCAAAGCGCCCACCCTGATGGTCACGACGTACACAAAAATCCCAAATCGCGTAGGCGGGAGCGCGGCTCGCTCTTGAGGTGACAAGCTTTTGATCTCTTTGCGAACATCCTTGAGCAGCTGCAACAGGTGTGCGGGCTCGTTCAGCCGAGCACGCAGGTTTCACCAGCTACCGTGGCATACGACTCACCTCGTTGTACGCATACTGCAGCGTCGTTCTGCTGTCATCCACCTCATCCTGTCGAGGAAAGGTGCGCTCTATGAGTATCGCATAGCAGTGAGCAGCTCAAGCTCACGGTGGCTCGCAAACACTCACCACGATCAGGATGCGCTTCCCGAGCAGCCCTTCGCCCTTGCCTTCCTCTGCGGCGCCTCCCTCCTTTTGTCCTCTGATCGCCTTCGCATCCAGCCACTGCGTCCTCAGCACCTCTCGTCCCAGAGCACCGGCGGATGAGTTGGCGATTTCTTCGTACAGCGCCAAAGACACAACGTTGATGGGCACGTTTCGCAGCTTTGTCGGATCCAATCGGGATGGCCGCTTGAGAAACGTGCGAAGAACGCGAGCAGGAAAGAGACCGCCGCCTGCGATGGCGAGAATCACGTCCTGGTGTTCATGGCATGCATCCCATGTAGCTTTAGCGTACAGTACCCACAAAGAAGGGCGATCAGAACTCACGGGATCAAAGTCCTGCTTGATCTTGCGGGCTGCATTGCATATATGCTGTGGTTAGGGGTTGCGGCAGCACGCGAAGGACAACGCCAATGGCGAAGCTTGGCGTTAGCAAGCAGCCCATCGACCCGGCGTGTGCCAACAAACGTCAAATGCTTGCGAAAGCATCGACGGTCATATCTGCCAGTGCTCTGTGATACTTACGACATGCACCTCTTCGTAAGTGATCCTGTAGTGATCGTCCGGAACAGTGTCGCTCAAGCTTGCCATGGTGATGATAAGGAGCTTGCAGACGGAGGGGTCGTGGCAGTACGATGGTGCGGCGAGGGCTGCTATGCGTGCGCTGGGAAGGTGACCGGTGTGGTGAAAGAAGGTAGATGGGAATGATTATGCTACCTATGAGCTCGCCATCTGCTTCGGTCGTTGGCCGGCGTCGTCGCTGGGCGTGATGGGAACAGGGCAATGATGGGAAGTGCAGTGTGCCTTCGTCTACTAAAGAGAGCGCGCGGTAGATGTATTGCTGAACGCCGATGCAGCTATAGTGAAGGAGAGTCAAGAGTGCTGGCGTTGTGTAAGCGCCGTTGTGAGTTTATGCGCGGCCATACGGCACGCACTCTATAGTCTTGAGTCACGAGTAAAGATGTAGATAAGAGCAGTCAAGAGTAGATATCGCAATTTTGAATCACGATGCTGTTAAGAGTCGAATCTCGAATTCAAAAATTCTTGGATCCAAATTGACTCACGTGACAACATGCTGTGGTTCTCCACTCGTGACTCAACGAGACTGGGCGCGATCGCGAGGAAAAGCACGCGCGCAGCCTCTGCGGCTTTGATTGATAGGAGGCAGCGTGTGGAAGGTCTTCCACTCGGGAATCTTGAGTCAAAAGCCAGCAATGAGCGTCTTGAAAGATGAACGCTATTTGCGGCTTGCTGTTTCCATCATCAGCCCTTCCTGCACACTGATAGCATCGCAGGAACCAGCCCCGAAGCTTTGCAGATCTTCCCTTCACATACTTGCTCACCATTTCCATCCTCAGGAAGCGGCAAGGCAAAGACGCGGCACCTTCCCCCTCCCTACACCTGCCTGGCCTTCCGATTAGCAATGTCATCCGCCGAGCAGACGTACGGGAATCAGAACGACGATCAGCTCGACAAGCTGCTCAGCAAAGTCAAAGCTCTCGTGAGTTGCAGCCGAGCTACGTCACAGGTCTTGTCAGCGTAGCGTGGCGATGCCATGACGATCAGGGCAGGATGGGACAGGCTTGAATGCGCTGGGCGCTACGCCGTTTCGCTGCGTGCTCGCGTGGACACTCGAGCTGCCAGCAGACGGATGACGCCAGTCGTGGTTGCGCGCAACTCCACACTGATGACGCTCTCACACGTCCCTTGGCATATATGCGCTTGCTGCGCCTCGTCACAGCGCGGCGTCACGACGGATATCCATTCCGATGTAGAGTCGCAGCGCACAGGACTTCTAGCAGACGCCGTGAGTCTGACATCCTTGGTAGCCTGCTGTTCTTTGGAAGTGCACCGGTACTGACAGCCGTCACACGGTCCTCGCGTTCAAGTCGGAATCCTTCGATGCCTTTTCCAACAGGCTAGGCTCCACGTCTTCTCGATTCACAAGACAGGTGGTCGCAGGTGCAAAGAGCAACAGGCTGCTCACAATGTACATCCTCGGCGGTATTGTCGCCCTCTTTCTCATATGGCATATTTTGTTTTAGGCGTCGCAGCAGCCGCATTGGTGCAGTCACGATCAGAGAGGAGGGGCTTCGACCGACGGGCGGGCAAGAATGATGCTTGCGCTTAGCAAACATCTGCACAGCTCATCAGCTCATCAACATGCATCGAGAATCACCGGTTGCGCGGTAGGCCTCAGTGGAGCATTCAAGAGCTCACGAAGATCGACGCGGCCTTCGTCAAGTCGCTGGCTCCTTGGAGCTGCTACAGCCGCAGCCGCTGCTGCAATCCAGCCACTGTAGGATCAGGAGCCGAGTCAGCTTCGACTCCATTTCCGCAATGGGTCTTGGTGCCGGGTTGCGGAGCTGCTGAAGAGCACAGCGGGCAGGCGGCAAATTCATAGTCGCCGTGTTCATTCCCGTAGCGGAGCACACGATGCATGCCAGGGGCCCTTTTGAATGCGGATGGTCACGCAGCGAGTCGTGCTAGCTACCTGTCTTAAACAGCGCAAACGGTAAAGCGCAGCACTATCGCAGCTGCCACATCGGAATTGCAGCGCCCTGATGGCCTCATTGGCGCCCACAGTCAACGAGCGAAGAGGCGAATGGAACCTTTGTATCATTCTGTTGTCATTGTTGTGCACAATAGACAGCAGTGCCTTCTGGCAATTTTGCAGAGCCTGAATGACTAGGCAACGAGGTTGTGATTCGATGCACAAACGGGCTCCGCCGTGAGCGGTGCAGATTGCATCTACGAAGCGCTCATGATGGCGTTCTGCGCGACACAGATCACACGTGTGGGGTTGATCTTGATCAGCACTCGGCTCGCCTTAAGAAGCGTAATCACAATAGAACTTGGTCCACTCACGATGACTGTTTGAGATGACGGCAGTTGGACAAGTGTCAGGCAGCGGGTCGCTTGTCAGCAAAACGTCGCACACCTCGCAACAGTATTCGAGTGATAATGCTTACGATCGCCGTTGGAAGCTTTCAGAGCCTTGACAGCCTTGCGGCGGGAGCAAGAGACCTGGGGGGCGGCATCCAGTCATGGTGGGTCAGCAACGCTTTCAAGAGCTTCATGGAGCTATGCGCGGTGAATGCCCTGCCCCTGCCCCTCCACCCAACTTCTAAATGCCCCTGAAGAGCTGGCTTTCGGATTCACCGCTCGACGCTCATGCCGGCGTTTTCCCGGCGCCAGTGCCTCCGTACACCCTGGCACATGAAGCGCTCGCTCATCAGAGAGACGGTGTGTGACTCACCTGCTGCATGACCAGCTCGATATCCTTGGCATTGACGTCAGTCTCGTCGATCTCCCCGTCACTCTCGGGTTCCTCCTCCTTCTTCTCTTTTCCAGCCCCCGAGTTGGCCTGAGATGCGGCAAAGCTCTCGGCGAGCATTTTCTCTTGCGCTTCTTGCTGAGCCAGATGCTGAGCTTGGGCTTGTTGAGCGGCGAAGGACTGATCCTCCGACTTGGCCTCGCCAAAGACAACGTAGACATCGGCAGTGGATGACTTGTACACCTCGGGCGTAGCGATCACGTACAGGTGCTGCACAAGACGAATGTCATAGCCGAGGAGGGAACGTCAGTAGCTGGACTGAATACCATTGCGAGCTGTGCGAATCGCATCGTCCCCCCCCCCCCCCCCCCCCCCCCCCCCC